AAATTAGGATAACAACACAACTACCAACTAAAGGAAGATAAATTTTTAGGGCTTTATATATTCATATTGCATAATCTAACAGAAACTATGGTTTATTCATTGAACAGATTAATGTAGGGAAGATACTGAAAATAGACCACGTTGAAAAATAAGGAAAGGAAATATTTGAGATAGTGTCCTATTCGTGTTTACTCCTAAGAATGATAATTAACTAATTAAGTAGCACATATCGTGACTCCATTATATTCCCTACCATCTTTCACCCACAATTTGCGGCAATAATTTTATAAAATAAAGTTTAGACTGTTTGGCTTAAAAAAATGCAAATTACTGCTCGGTAGTTGTGTTGTTATCCTAATTTGTGCCGGCCTTTATTAAATTTTTAGTGAACAATATTTTTTGTTTATTCTTGACTTCCCGTCTCAATTTTTCGATCAACTCACTCAATTAATTATCTACATTTTAACTTAGTATCTAAATTTTACTGGTAATTGCTAGAATAATTTGATGAATCACTTAAATCTTCATTTTGAAAATTTGACCAATGAGCCTTTGACATATTAATTTGGTGAAAACTGAATGCAAATAAATATAAGATTGTTCCCAAATTACTAAAGATACGTTGGCTATTTAAATATCCATAATTATTTTCGAGTCTGCATTCCTACTAGTGTCAAATTCTTGATTCATTTATCAGTTCATTGAGTGCAAATATAGTTGATGCGGTGATTCGCCTTAAAAATTGGTTGCAGGTTAATAAGGAACTTATAGTGATTCGTTAATATTTGTATGAGGTAGAAGTATTGAATGATTCACAAAATGTTATAGAAGTAATTATTGTATTTGATCTTTTTATTCATTTTGTTTTATTAGTTGTTTTATATCATCTGAACTATAATCAATAAATCAATGTATTATATTCTTATCTTTATGGAAATAATGAATCATGTGTTATAATTGCATATGTTGTGCCAGTTGGTATTAATTAAGAGATTAAAATATTTCTATCATGTTGTTTCATTATAATAATTAGAATTATAGAACTTTAGTTTATAATACTTTTAATGATACTATTTATGCTTTAACGTGAAATTCTAGATTAATACTTATGATTTAACTTATTCGATATATGTTTTTTTTCTTTGTTAAACCATGGTTTTAAATTGAACCAAACTGAAAAATGTAGTTTTAATTGGTTTGGTTTATTGAAGTAGTTTGGTTTTATTTGAATTTTTTTTTTTTTAAAAGCGCTTTAAGTGATTTGGTTTGAAAATTTTATTATAAACCATCCAACCAAACCGTATTCACCCTAGTACATGACTTAAAAGCGCTGGCTTTTGTTTTAGTACTTTATTCATGTAATTATAGCATTTTACTTAATTGGGGACTAATTAATATTTTTTTAGAAGTTGAGGNCACAAACAAATGGAAGTTTTTTTTTTCAAAACCAGCTCCAAATCATTCTGCAGTTGGGCTCCGCCCCTGTGGGATTGAACATATCATTTTGTTGAACATATCATTTTGTTTGTGAACATAATTGGATGTGACCATTTAAGTAATTCATCAAATTATTTGCGCTGGCTTTTTTTTAGTACTTTATTCATGTAATTATAGCATTTTACTTAATTGGGGACTTATTAATATTTTTTTAGAAGTTGAGGACCAAAGGAGAAATTAAATAAACTTTTATTTTAAGCGGCAGCCCATCGTGAATTTGGTTTGGCTTTAATTGGATTAAAATTTATAATACAATTTGGAGAGATTTTCCAAACCTTTTCGGTTTAAAGTCGGTATTTGTAAAAATCAGCAGTTTTTTCAACCAAGATCAATTATTTAATATTTCGTAATGTGTCAATGACTAAAAATGACGTGGTCAATTTAGATATACTTAATTGATAATTTGAACGAGGTAATTTGTTGAAATGTTACAAAAAGAAGATGGTTGCATTAATTGAAGTGCCTGTAGGGAGTGTTTTGTGAGTATGCTGAGTTCGGATTTTCGGGAGGACCATTTGATCCTATTATAAGCTCCTAGCCAGCAAACTGGCCACCCAGAGTCGTAGCATCACCTATAGTACCGTCCCAAAAATGTGTGCCACCACCTAGTATTCGAGACTTGATTTTTCTTTGAGGTCGGCTTAAATTGGTCATGATGATTTTGAGTGGTGCTAATCATAACTGACTTGTGATTGGTCGAAATTGTGATGTTGCTATCATTGTTTCCAATTGTCACTCTAGGAATGGCGGTGGGTGGTGATGATGTCAGCCTAGGAACACGTGTAGCAGGGTGTAATGATTATGTTTCCTAGATGATTGCGGCATGAGGGTCAGTTGGGGAATTATTGAAAATACCCAAAATTTAGCAATAGCCTTTCCAAAATACTCATTTTCACTATTCAACCATATAAACTATCTAAAATATCCCTAAAAACAATAATTGCAACCAAAG